CGTCATTGATTATGAGTAGAATTGGAACGACGAGGCTGTGAATCCCATTTGTATTAACTCATTAATTTCCAAATTTCTTAGCCTTCCGTTTTAGTTATATTCTGTATTTAACGTCACTTTAATCCACACCCGATATGGAAGTACTTATTTCTAAAACTTACATACATGACCACACGACGGTGATCTATTAAGACAAAATGATCTATATATCAAAACTAAAGGCCTATATTTTTGTAAAATATTTAGATAAGTACATTTTTTGGGTGACTTAAAGGTATCTACCGAAAAAACCAGATATGAATAGAATAGCCTTTTCTTCCAGTTCTATGTACATTTGCAAATTTGTGACCACTGACCACCTAAAATCCTCCACAATTTTTCCCCCAAAAAATCCCCCATCCGTTTTATTACCCCAAAAATGGGGGGAAATACCCCAATCTGGCAAACTCTGTAAAATAAATTTATCATGACACATATATACACAGTGTTGCCATGCTTCTGTATCTAAAATTGGTAATTTGATGAAACTTCTTGCATTTGACTTCGGTATTTTCGTTTTACTTGGTATTTCGTTGTTCGCTTGTATTTCACTTGGTTCGTAAACCTATTGGTAATTAGCAATATGTTTGGAGCTATTCTCACTATTCTGTGTTCTACCATTTCATCATTATGTTTGTTCATAAGCACCTCCACTTGAGAATTAGAGGTTGCTATGATTTATTTCGTTATATTTTTCGTTTTTCTGTGTGTTAGCCCAATGCCATATCCACTTTACAGATGGCTTTAATTAACCGGATCTATTTTGCACTGTCTTCTAATGCTTTTACTTCATTCTTTATATCCTTCTCTATTTTACCGGTTATTCTTATTGGTATTTTTATCATTTTTGCTTCCATTATTCGTCTTGTTCTCATAGACATAATCTTGTTCTACTTATGCCAGGTCTTGTTTTTGTAATGTACGTTTCGTGTCTATAATAAGATGCTTATTTCTTCGTATTTTGTATCTTAAGCAACTAGCTACTTTATTAGCTTTTGTAACTTGGCGTCTTTCTTGACTACTCAATTTTCCGTGTTTTCCGTGTCACTACCAGAACAACTTCTTCCACATAGCATATTTATTATTTTCACTTCCTTATTCCCCATCTTATATCCTATTGCTTTCAGCACTTTCATTATTAAGTACCTCATAATAATATTAAATAGTAATAAGTCAAGTGAATAACATTCTCTATAATAGTCTTTGATTGTTCTAATTAAATTTGGCGTTATTTTCCTGTTGCATAATTCCATAACATCATGTAGCTGAATTCTATCAAAAGCTTTCCGTAATCTAGAAGACACACCGGAATGTTGGTCTATTATATTTTAGATTTTCTACCGTTGGTCGCATGATAAATACAGTGGCTGCACATGGTCTTGCAGTTTTATATATCGTTCTGAAGTTATTTTCTTGTGACATTTTAATATTATTTACTATCTTTAACGGGAATTAACCAAAATTTCAGTTGAAAATACTGTTATTTTGACGTTTCGATTCGTTGAATCGTTGTCAAAAATTATTCAATATATACAAATTATTCAACTGAACGGTTAATTTAAAGATGGCGACTAATAATTTTAATACTAGTCCCCCTCTAGCTGCTAGTAGGCTTTGGGGTTACAGCAGGGTAGTCTGCTATCTCTTGGGTCTACGGTATATATACAAGGAATGTAACAGGGCCAGTGATATGGTTTAACCGCCTATTATTACCACTGATGTTATTTAAGCTACTAGGTAGGTACTCTTAGGCTGAGTCGACCTCGTCGACCTGGGAATTTCTATATATTTCAAAATATCTAGATATTCTCGCTGGAAATCGATACCTGGTCTTCTGTGTGAAAGTCAGGCACTCTACCGCCTAAGCTATCCGGCCCTGACTGATAAATCTTCCAGATCTAAATCCTGGTTTGTAATTATCACTTTTATAATTGTATTTTGGAGATGCAGGCTTCTATATTGGTGATAAACCTAGGAGAGGGAATAGACGTAATTTCTTACACAGACGACCTGGTGATACTAGTAGAACACTTCGAGAATGGGCCCATAATGGATATGACAAACACAGCCCTTGAACTAGTTAGGATGTGGCTAGAGGAAAGAGAACTGATGCTATCCACACAGAAGATGAAGCTCATACTCTTCATGAGGGTTTAAGAGCGAGAGAGCATCACTCTATCATATAGGAACATATCCTACCTGTCAAAAAAGTCAAATATCTGGGCGTAATACTGGACACCAGACAGAGCTTCTGTGAACACTTCATATAGCTGCAAAAAACGATCAAAGAACAGCAGTGTTAACAAATATCATGCCGGAAACAGGCAGAAGGAGAATTCTCATGCAAGTGGTCCACTCCTTCCTGTTATACGCAGCAACAGTATGGCAGCAGGTGATACATAAACAAAATACAGAAGAATTCTGGAGAAAGCTCAGAGAAAGACTCTACTGAGGGTCATCTGCGCACATAAGACGACTTCGACATTTGCCTTACAAGTGAAAGCAGAGGTTCCATCAATTCATTCACTAGTGAGATGAGAGAAAAAAAGCAATTACGTACGGCATGAGTGAAAACGACATAGCAGACGAGAGAGATGTGACCAACGCGAAATGACAAGACTGGAATAACGAACATAGAGCTAAATGGACAAAAACACTGGACGTGGGAAACTAGACATGACACTGCCATAGGGAGACTAACTACTTCTTCACACAGTTCATTACGGGGTATGACTCTTTCAGAGCCCCTGGTAAGGATAGGAAAGCAAAAAGCACTGTCTGTTCGATTTCAAAAGGTTTACGAACGAGAGGACGGAGCTATACGAAAGACTCGGAGAAGTTAGAGCAAACAACATAATTTACGTGGTGGGAAGAGGAGAAAATGAATATAAAGAAATCCGGGGAGTAATAACTAGAATAATATAAAGGAAAGAGATCGTAGAAAGGAATCGACAGCAGACGTAAACGCTAAAGGGAAAAACAGGAAAAGGAAGCCACGCATGCGTTTTAAGACGGTCTAAAGAGGAGTCTCGCATGTGTAGCTGAGGGTTGTTTTAGTTGGTAGGCAGGGCATCAGGCACTAAATTTCATATTATTTCGAACATATATTCAATAAAGATCCTATAAATAGTAGATCTGGCAACATTGTTCGATTGTATATAAGAAATTCATGATGTTCTTTCTTCTTCTTTCTTAAAAATGCGTTAAATATAGTTTTCAACCACTACTTTGTATATTTTTTTAATTTAAAATACCCTTTTTAGCCAATATTCTCTTTTTGTGAGTACATAATATGAATGCCGTAGTTATCAATATAGTCTACAATTTGACTATTTTTTATTAGGAATGAGCTACAATTTTACTCCAAAATAAGTTAATTTTGACATTTCGATTTCCACTTTGTAAATCATTCTCATAATTCAAAACACTAATAAATTAAACAAATTTTGGATTTGTTACTTGGTAAAAAAACTTTTCTAAAATGATATTGTGCATATTTTTGAGTTGCGTTCCTGGGGCGATTTTATTGGAAGATAGTTGATTCGATTACAAGAAATAAATTTTCAAAATTCAAATTAAATAAAGTAATTTTAGTATTTATTTATAGATTTTAACAAAAGTTTCAGCAAAAGCAAGAACTGCTGTTTCGTGACGCCATTTCTTGTGACGCTCGCCCAGCATTGTACTAAAGAAAAGATGTACAACGCCTGTATAGAAGCTTCGCTTCAAAACCTTATAATACTACCCCGACATGGTAAGTATTTGATCTTACATTTAGTTTACTCTCAATATTAATATTAAACTCTGATTTTTTTCTATACTAAAATACAGAGGCGAGCGTCACAAACACTAAATAGCGGTTCGTTATTTGCAATTACATTCGCCTTACATTGTCCATAATATGAATGATTCTGATACATTTAATTATTAAAAGTTTTTTTTACTAAGGAACACAAACAAAATTTGTTTAATTTATTCTTTTGTATTTTGAGAATCATTTCTGAAGTGGATTTTAAAATAAAGTGGCTTATTTCCAATATATATGTATACCTATGTATTGAAAAATGTAAATTTATTGGAAAATATAAACAAATATACTGAAAAGTCAAAATCTTTAAGCCAGATTTGTATGTTCCTGACTAATGCCCTTTGTCTCCTGATTTTGGATTGTAAGCATTCATGCATGAAAATCCACATAGTCTTCTCTTTTCTTTTTTTCTCATCTTGTGATACTATATATTTTTTCAAAACGAGTCTTTCCTGCAATTAATAACCTTTGTTGGTGATGCTGGGCCAAGTTATCTTCCAATTGCAAATTTTCATGATAAAATTTTTTCTGTTCAGAATACTGACCACACACAGAAACATTAATATCATGACATTTCAACAATACAAAACTGTTCATTCTACTTATTCAGGCTATAACATCTAACTTCTTCTCCTTCCTCCACATCCTTTGTTATTTGTATTAATCTCAATCCAGCATGTTTTTTACAAGACCTAATTTATAAGGAAAAAATCTTTCATGTTTAGTACATTTTTTTTCTTTTTTACTTTGAAAAATAGCATGCCAATATATAGTTTTCAAGAATCTAGGGCTTTGCCATAACATTCAGAATATTTTCAACCCAAATCCTCATAAATCTAATAATGGCCAACTTTTGGCTTTCAACATTTAACAGTAGATATGTCATACTATTCATTGGAAATTATAATGTAACTCATGCTATAAGAACTTAAATGAACCTACAGTAAATGATCTTGTAGTAAAAAAAGTTAAATGCCAAGATATTATGGAAATAGTCTTACCAACACTAAAGAGAAAAATTTCAACCCCAAAAACTACCACATATATTTAAACAAGTTCACAAAATAGCAGAACATTCCAAGAAAAACAATATTTGACGTATCTCCTGTTGAATATTGAGATATAACAACTGGTTTTCAAAATAAAACTACAATTAGGAAGAAAATATCTATATTATCATACTTACAAAACATAGTTTTTCTTACAATTAATAAAATTTTACATATAAAAATTAAAATGCAGAAATGGTTTCTGCATAGAAAATCAACACACTCTTTTTGTGATTATGAAATTGCCTTTGTTATTATGTACCTACATATATGAGGTAGACATACATAAATATATCAGTTAATAAAACCAATGATGCACAACAAGAAGTTGGCCAATATCCTTCTTACGTCCAAGATTTCTTAAAGCTACTATAACAACTTATCAAACAATTATGAACTTAACCATGAACTAGACAAGTAAAAAATTAATTCTTAGGTGGCGGCCTAAACACACCCACCACCACAGCATGATCTCTTTCATAAGGTTCCAAAGTGAGCTGTTCTTGAGGTTTCAGTTTATCTGCTTGTAGCTTCTTAACTTCTGATGCAAATACAGCCTCAGGCTGTGCAGTGGAATCTATACAAGATGCTTTAATTGAAATAACAAAATGTCCATTATTTTTAAGGAAATACTGAGCATTCAGGGCCACGATTCTAGCTTGATCTGGCTGAGCTACATCAGCAAATATAGTATCTACCATTCCTACCAGCATTCTGTATTTGTGGGGGTGTCTAGCATCTTCTATTATTGGGATTATATTTGTACGTTTCTTGGCAACATTTATTAAGTCTCTGCCTGATCTGTGTGAGAATTCTACTGCATATACAAGACCTTCAGGGCCAACAACATCAGAAACATGTGATACTGTGGTTCCGGAAGCAGCTCCTAAATACAGGACTTTGCTGCCCGGTGGCATGTGAATTTGATCTACACCTCCTAATATGGCAGCTGCTAGTTTACTTCTGAATGGATTCCACACTCTGTATTCAGTTTTTTCACCTTCATTCTGAAAGAAACAAATAATTAGTTGAATTTATAACCTTATTGTATAACGATAAAAGAACTAATAAATATTTTGTCATCAACCAAGCAACAGCATGTAATTCAATTTTTTGATAAATGGGGTTTTGTTTCATTTAATGAGAAATAGTGATGGAAAGACCTGGTTCGTTTCGGTGACCCGGGTCATTCATTAAAATGACCCATTCATATGATCGACTAATTAAATTTGTTTTGTAAAGGTCAAGTGTATAGAGTTTAATATTGATATGTTTATTAATCTTTCTAAGGGTGTATGTATTAATGATAATGCAGTACCCGTTCATAGAAATTTGTTCATTACAACGACTTTAATTACATTGTTGTTTACATGTAGAATATGATAGTGTTACTATAAATTTAAAAATGAAATATAGTTTAAGGCTGACATTAAGATTTGTACTTCTCAAATCATCTTCAGAAATCATTAAAATAAAAATAAAATACTTGAAAAAGTTAAGTAAAATTAATTATTGTTATGTTCATGAATGAATGATAATGTAACAATTAATATGGATTTTATTTTCTACAAATTTATGACCAGAACAGACTATGGGACTACTGACTCGACAATTCGAATGTATATAATTTTATAGTTTTGCAGTGTAACAGTTTCTGGAAAACTGAAACCAGTGTTTGAACGATCCTTTGTGGTTCTCACTGTTCACGATTCATGCATTAATTTGACCGAGCCATGTGTCACAATCACACAGTTCTTTCGTAAACACTAGACAGCGTTATTCATAGGGTCATTGGAACAGTAGGGTCGCAGAATGTGATTGTATCAATCACAAGTCTTCGAAAAGATCAGATCTTTGTGAACGGTTCTTTCAAGGCCTTCTCATCACTAATGGAAAATCTCATGCACAATAACTGAATAAACACATATAACATTTCTAACCATTCTCTCATTCAGTTCCCATAGCAAAACCAATGGAGGCTGTTTTGCTGGGTTCATCATCAACCAAAGTTGGTTTGTTATTGTTCTCCTGTAAAATTGAAAAAAAACGGGTTACATTGTGTTGCTTGGTTTACAAGTTCAACTTTTTAAAACATAGAGTTTTGGAGAGTAGTACATGATAAGAGTATTCACTATATACCTGGCAAATGTCTTGATAAATATATGCCAAAAATACCTTTACTACAAACACAAGTTACTAATTAGGTTCAAGCAGAATAATATTTGATTCATATGTCACTGTTTCTCCAAAAACTGAACTTCTCAACACTTACCTCAACAGATATCCTCTTCTCTCCATAAACTTCAGACCCAGGAACAAGATTAAGTGTGACTAGAGCATCTTCTTTACCTCTCGCAATGAAAACTCCCTCGTGCCTGTGAGGCTCAATAACTACAGTCTTTCCTCCCTTGAATCCACCTCCTCCGCCGCCGCGTCCTCTTCCTCCTCCGCGACCACCGCCTCCACGGCCACCAAATCCTCCTCTTCCACACCGCCTCGGTCACCTCCACCGCGCCCACCAAATCCTCCGCGTCCACCGCCGCCACGGCCACCTCCAAAACCACCACGTCCACCGCCGCCTCCAAAACCACCACGTCCACCGCCTCCTCCGAAACCACCACGTCCACCACCTCCTCCAAAACCACCACGTCCACCGCCGCCTCCTCGGCCACCGCCGAAGCCACCACGGCCTCCTCTACCGCCTGGAGAAAAATCTAAAAGAAAAACAAATGTTATTTACATTTTACAAGCAATTATTGAATTACCATTGATATTTTTGTTTAATAATTATAAAATTTAAAAAGGAACTTACCTGGTTTACCCATAATTGAACTAAACAACTATATAATAAACAAATTCAAAAATATATTCTACCACGTGCTGCTTTCAGGCCAGGAGCATTAGAAAACATAACCTCAATAAGAACACGATTACACACGATTACTTGATTCTTCTTTTTCATTTTCATCAAGAAGAGGTGATAATTTAAAACCAAATCTGCTTTATTTATTGGCTGTATATTGAGGTAATCCACCAAAAATCATTTACCAAATAACTTTGCTTCATGTTTGGTATTTTTTACGTCTTTTTAAAATTAATTAATTACTAACTTCATTCTGGTTAATATTATCATAACAAACATAACTTTGTCAATAATTTTTATATGAATTAAAAAGTTTTATGTTCATTGCAATACAATAAGACGACAAATACTTATTATTTGAATTTCTGTTTTTCCTTGTACATATCACATCCGCTTTTATTTTTAATCCGATTACAGAAGCGTTTACGACAAGCATAACAAGTTTAGACAAATATAAATAACACAGTTCCAAACATTAAAATTTTGATGATCTTACTGTTCTGTGTCCATTTTTTCAATTTTTTTTTTTAAATAAACAGAAGAATGATTTTAACCATTAACAAAAATGGCGACTATTCATATACACAGCGGGAAAAACAATTTAGATTGTAAAAATCAAACAAGTAAAATTCAAAGTGTACCTTTTAAAGTCCATGCCGATTGTGACGCTAAAGTTAACAAGTTTTTTAATAATTATATCAAAACTGATGAAAATGAACGTAAGTTATATTTGTCATTTTAAATCTGTATCTGATCTCTAATCCTTTTCAGAATTAACGTCTTCGTTTAGGGGATATCCACTAAAAGGAAAACACGTAAATTTACCGGAGGGATACCTTGGACTGGTTTTACATGAAAGTATCCGACCAGAGACTGACAAAAGTGATAGAAAATTCTATGTTACCAATACATTTTCACAGCTAACACATTGGAATTGGGATAAACAACCAAGCAAGAATGATACCATAATTCAAGCTCTAGATTGGATTGATATAGCAGAAGCAGTAAGAGTTTTCTACATTCTTTAAGTTTATATTGTTGGAAATTTTAATGTGTTTAATATGTTGAGCATTTTAAAAATAACTAACAATATTCTATTGCCTTGCCTGGTTGTACTTAGAACCAAACTCAGGAAGACTAAAGGCTGATTTATAAACTTTACATTGGCGTTCGTGTTACAATATGGTCAAATGGGAAACTCGTATGTCTATTTATAAAACACAGTTCGCAGTTGGCGTTCGGTTCTGTTCAAGATGAACCAACCTTATCTTTTGCTGTTGCCTTTGTAGCACAGAATACATCAATCCTGTCAAACAAATCAAACTAAATTATTTGTTTATGTTTGCATTTCCAGATGTTTATAAAGTGGAAGAGTTTAGATAATAACAAGCTTCTCTTTAACAGAAATTCCATCAGACTGATAGTCTACATTTTACTTTTGGTTTTACCATTTGCAGTAATTTTTCAAATACTGAAACCTGCATCATGGTATATTTAAAAATCTGCTGGGTATCCCAGTTTTTTATATATTCATAATAATTAAAATTACCTGTGGTCTTTTTGTTCTGATTAATGAGCCTCCGTTTTTATAGACATCTTTTATTTCGAAGGCTCAGTGCTGCTCGAATACAAAATATCAGTGCCACTGCACCTGGCAGAGCATTTTCATTTTCCATTGTATTAATTTTCAAGCAAAAATTAATAATACCAAATAAAAAATGTAAGGTTAGAAATTTAGATGTGATCTTTAACACCATCCGAAAGTTTATAAATGCAGTCTATGATAGCCAGCGCCAAGGTCAATGGCAAACACCAGCACCAACGTAAAGTTTATAAATTATCCTTAAGATGCTATTAGTAGAACTTCAAACCAGAATGGCTATGTAAGAAAATGGTTTGGTTGTGTGACAGAAAATTATCAATAACACTGAATATAAATACTTTTATATTCAGTGTTATCGATATTTTGTTTGCTCTAAAAGTAGGTATTATGTTTGGTAATGAATATTTAGCAGTCTAGGCCAGCAAAGATTAAATGGTTATGGAGATTTCTTAACTGAAGTAAGAATCACTTAATAAAAATAGTAGTAGTCAATTGATCTACTAGGAAGGTTCCATTTTCTTTGAGGGTATCCCTAAGGATATTTTTTGGCTTACCTTGCATACATTTGATAAGCGGTTATAAAATGAATTGACTATTGTAAAGATGTATTTAATACACATTTCCCAATGTCTTTTTTTGGATATTTTGCAAGTACATGCAAATTTTCAGGCAGTCTATATTGCCATCTTTCTGTGTAATTAACTTGCAGTTTGGTAATTCTCACAGTTATTGATAGTTTATTTATTTTATGTAAATATGGGAGAAAAGGAATAGTGAGAAAAGGAATAGTAAAAAATATAGTTTTGGTAGATAACCATTTTCAAGTAATCTATATTTTCATCTTTCTACTAAACTTGTGGTTTAGTAATTCACACAAAAATAGTTTTGTTATTGATAGGCCATTCATTTTATGTAAATGTGGGAGAAAAGCTGTAGTAAACAATATAGTTTTGTGTAGATAATCATCTCATATTGGTTTTTTAATTGTACATCTACAATCTTTGTTTGTGATTAAATAAGTGTTACATGAATATGTTATTTTAATCTTTTTTTGTATCATTTTAGCTCCACAGTCCCATACTAGAAGAATGACACTGAATTTTCCAAAAATTCATGTTTTTCCATCATAGATCAAAAGAAAATGTGCCTTGAACTACAGGATACTTACACAACAAATTACCAATCAAAAAATAAGGAGGTGTGTTATATACAAATTTTTAATTGGTTGTTAAATCCTCAGTGCAACATTTTACAGCTCTGGATTTTATTGAGAAGTTTTATATTTAGATGTAAAAATATTAACTTTTATAGTGAAATCATATTTTACCCATAATAATATATTCTTGAGACCTAAAATGGGCTCTAAGTGAGTTTTTGTTTGAGAATTTGTTGTGTAAACATGCAGTACATATTTATTTCATGTAAAATTTGTTTGTTTAATAAAAATAAAACCACTAGTGAGTTTGTTTTTATTTATTATGCATAAAAGGTGTATAAATAAAATATTTATGTGACTAGATGTTATCAAACCTTAAAAAATAGGTATATATAATTTATTGTATATATTTTTTGTTTAAAACAAGTCTAATACAAAACAAATAAGTTAATAACCAAATGAAACTAGAGCATTCAAATGACGTGAATCAGATTACAATATAAAACAATATACTAAGCACAAACATAATGATACTGTAATGGTTGCATTTTGAGTTTGCACATGTTTACGATTATTGCTTTAAGAAAATTAAGTGTAATGTTAAAATATTTACAAAAGACTAAAGAAATCAACAAGATTAAGTGATTGACCACGTAATAGTTGACTTAAATCCCCAGCAATAGAGATCCAGTGAACTAACTAAAGAATTACAGGACAGGAACAAAAGCAAGTGAAAGAACTTTGTCCTAGCACTACACTGGACTCAAAAAAAAATGATAAACTGATATTAAACTATATATCTGAAGTTTTTTACTTGATTAAGTTCCTTCAGACACTTTTAGCAAATGAATCTTGTATATCATGTCTGCTAGTATAATTGTCTGCCTTGCTTTGGTGCCTGTGTTATTGTGATGTCCTTTCTATTAGATCTCGGCTAAATGCCAGACACACAATTAATCACAGTATCAGTATGTGTGGACATTAAAAATAAACTATTTAATATATACTTTAAAACAAATTGTTCACTTGGTTACTGATTTTCAAAATCACTGAATTATGCGTTTTTAAATAAAGTATCACAACATACATGAGATGCTAATCCTAGTTTATTGAGTATATCTATTGTGAACTATTTAAAAATTTGGCAAATATGCAATCATGGCAGGTTTTTGTTCACTGTGTATACTTATAAAACTTATAAGAGAATGCATGATTTGTCCCTGTAATGATTATAATAAAATACTTCAGTAATTATACTCAAAATTATTAAGACATCTCTTATGGACATCCAGAAAGTTCAGAGATCATCCAGATAAAATACATATTGAGCAATTTGTATTGTTTAAGAAGAATGAGATCCAACAAAGTATTAATCTGGTAAAATTTACTTGAGCAAAAGTGTCAAGAAGTCAGTGACGTTCACAGAAAAAATTCCATAACAATATAAAATTGGGATCTATATTATCTCTGGTAAGTGTTGTCTTCAATGCAAATCCTTTCTATTCCACTACCGCCATAGATCTGTATTATAACTATGTTCACGAAAGTAGAGAAAGGTATAAATTCTTTCTATCATGTATATTTTATCATATGTGTCATACTAAACTTATAGTACAAACATAATTGCTACTCATTGTCAAGGGATGAACCTCGATTTGAACTTTTAGGCTTCACTGTGCTTCCCCAAAGACAGATAGAGAGGTAATAAATAAAGAAGAGAGGAACAGGTTATTGAAACTACACACAAGTATCCTGTAAGCATGAAGTATTCAAAATTTGGTTTATTAAGCAGGGAATGCTAAGCGAGAACCTCAAGTGAAGTCAGTAGATAACACTGTGAGTGACATATCTTCTTTTATTTTGGACTGACATGGGATAGTGATACGCCTCTCCTCAAGTTGCACATTCACCACAACACTTATACACTAGACAATTTTTCACACTGATCATGCTACAATGAGTGAGCTGTACTTTTCTAAAAGGAAATAAATTAAAGATTTGAGGCAATCTGTTCCAGAGACAAATCGTGAGACTCTGTATAATACTGACAAATGATAAAAACTGTTTTAGTGCTGTTTTGAGCATCGCTGGTTATGGGCGTTTTGTTGATACATCAAAGAGCACCAGGTTATAGAATACTTATAGATGATTATTTACAATATATAGAAATACCTATTATCTAGTTAATTGGATAAAAAAACTGTATAGTAACAAAAACATTACCGCTAGTAAGTCTCTTGGAAATACCTAAGAAGGAACTGTTACTGATAAAACCGAACATCTCGTAAAAATTAAATAAAAATGCAGCAATGACTTGCTGGTTTTATACAGCAAACAGTTCCGTCACAAAAATAGGTATTTTTCATATTTTTCTACTATTTACATAAGATACTAAACTGGATATGGAAGGTAATGGACCAATTTATGACAAAAATATGTTTTTACTAAAGGAGTTTCAGTTTTAACTGTTATAGTTTGTTACCAATCTGTTTTAATAAGTTTCAAAATTTCTTGCTCTATGTGAGTCAAAAAGTGTCTAAACATAAGTAAAATCGTTCTCCAAAGTCTCGATAGACGGTATAACGTTTATTTTAAAAATAATTTTGGTTTTAATATTCGTTGAAAGCTAGCTAGAAAGAAGGCCAATACTCTCTGATAGACTGCAACAGTGCTAGCGATGGGTTTTTCGGATGCGAAAGGTTTTATTAATTACTATGTAATTCCAAAAAATTCTTAGTCAATATAACGCAGTTCCTCCCAAGACGACCGTTGCACACATAAATTTACACCAATTGGGATAAAAATTAATCAACCATCCATCGTATCGACCAGATTTAGCACCATGTGACTATTTACTGTTTCTAAAACATCCTACATTGGTTAGAAAACGCCATTTTATGTTAAACGATTTTTACGTTGTTTGTTCGTTGTTACGTTAAAAATGTTTGATTTCTTACTCAGGCTAGATTAATGTTTTCGAATTCATTGCCGAAATTTTTTTTCGGCTTTCTTAACTGTGTAAAATTTGTTAAAAATATGATGGAAACGAACTATGAAAGTTTAAATTTGTTCCGCAAGCATTCAACGTGCTAGATAATCCTATCAGATTATTTATATCGCTAGTTATGTGACTGGGAGAATATTATCTTAGAAATAAAATATTTTTCCCAAAAAATGTCTAGTATTTCATCGAGTATTTTTGGGCCTACCCTCGTATTAAATCTTGAAAGAATATAGGGTGGTTCAATAAGTTCTGTTGTGTAATTCCAAAAAATTCCATAAAAGATGGCGCTATTAAGTTCGTAGTTTAATTTTTTTAATATGTTTGATGAACACATACGAAATTTGTTAAAAATGAAATTTTTGGAATATGAAGCATCAATAAAATTAAACAACGCCTTATTAGAAGGTGAACAAACTTCGGGTAGAAGGGTAGAAAGATGAGTAGCTGAACTTAAATGTGGCAATATAAATTTTGACGAGGATTCAAGTGAAAAATGTCCAAAAATTGCATCAACAGAAGTAATCGTAGGAAAAATGTAGGATGTGGTTTTAGAACATCGTACATAGTATAGGTGGAGATATCTGGCTGGGAGTATATTGTGTTGAGAAATAAAATATTTTTCTCAAAATTGTATTTCATCGAGAATTTTTGGACTTACCCTCGTATTAGATATTTAAAATATAGAGGCCACAGAGGAGGTAGGTGATCTGTGATAGAGGCTGTTTAATAAATTTTGCAATTCGATAAGAGATGGGGCTAGTAAGTCTGTAGTTTTATTTTTTTTTTAATATAATTGATGAACACATACGAAATTTGTTAAAAAACGAGAGAGATACAAAAAAATAAATTTTGAAAATCATTTCTCATTCTGAGCAACATTTTGAGCATTTTAGAAAAGATAGAAGATAGATCCATTACTATGGTTGAGACTTCGGTCTACCACCATGATTCTGGATGAAAACAAGACCCTACGGAGTGATGTGAAGGCGATACTTCTGCGCCTGTGCGCATTAATGGTTGAATAATGCGCAAATTAAGTTTTTTGAGTTGAAACAAGAGTTTTGCCCATGGCTATCTTCAAACAGGTTAAACAATAAATTTAATTTGTCATGATATTCGTTTGGATCAACTAGATGTAAAATTTGTGAGAAAAGACCTGGTTTCAAAAAAAAAAAAAAAATTCATCTTACAGCTCAAAAAAACCATTGCGAAATGATAAGGTCATAGTCGAATTTTAACACTAGTTTGAGGAGTTCAAGGAAAATTTCCTTTCGGATGAATAAAAAAATTGTAAAAGGATATTATGTTGAAAAATAAATGTTAAAAATAACAAAAATCGTATTATTTAAGCTAGATTAATGACCAACCACACTAGCGTTTGTTGCCGATGTTTTTTTGGGGATTGCTTTAACTCTTTACTTCTCACAATTAGCTATTAACATGATGGAAACAAACTATAACAGTTGAAATTCGTTCTCCAAGCATCCTACTTGCTAGACATACTTCTATCACATAATTTTTTTTACTAAACTTGTGTGCTGTATGACATGTCGCGCAGTTTTTACTTTAAACAGAGAAAATAAAAGCTCTTAAATATAACTGGAGGTGGTTAGCTGACTGGGAAAAGATTGTGTTGAGAAATAAAATAATATTTTTTCTTAAATTTTCTGTACTTCATTAAGTATTTTTGAACCTGCCCTGTATTAATTCTTTAAAATATACTGAATTGTTCAATAAGTTCTGTAGTTCGATAAAAGATGGCGCTATTTAGATATCTATTTAGATAGATATAAGAGGGACTATTCAAGAAAGTGAAGCACTTTCAATAAGAAGCGTAGAAAGATGAGACGCAGAATTTAAACGTGGTAGTACAAATTTTGAAGACGATTAATGAGAAGGACGTCCAAAAATTGCATCAACATTAGTAATCATAGCAAAAATGTAGGATATGGTTTTGGAACAACTTCCATCAACCAACAAAGATTTAGCAGAACTCTTAAATATGGCTGGAGATGTTTAGTTGATTGGGAAAATATTGTGTTGAGAAATAAAATGTTTTCCTAAATTGTTTGTCCATCGAGTATTTTTGGGCATACCCTCGTATTAAATCTTTAAAATATGAGGTTATTTAATAAGAGATGGCGGTATTATTCGTTGTAGTGTTACGATGTGGTTTTAGGCATTCTATTAGGCAAGTGCGCCAATATTTGGCTGAGCTTTTGGGCTGAAGAAAGTTGTGTATACAATGGGTCATACATCATTAACGAACAATTAAACAAAAATACACTCGAATACGACTGATTAGCAACACTTTGAGCGTTTTAGAAAGGATGGAAGATAGATTAATTACTATGGATAAGATTTGATTATATAAACATCATTCGGGATCAGTGAGACTGAGTAGTAGGTGAACGTAGTATTTCGGTGCGAAGCTACTATGGGTCGAGAAATGAGCTAAGAAAGTGTTAACATAAGTTATTTTGCTATCAAACTGGTAAAACAATACACTCGTACTGTTATTATATTCTTTTGGATCAACTGGATGTAATATTCTTCAAAAAGACCAGGTTTCAGCAAAAAAAGGAGTTTTTATTAAGACAAGTTCTTCTCATACGCATCAAAAGACCGTCGTGAGCTCCTTAGTACTTCTTCATTAGTTTTCCTTGCTGTGCAAGGTTTCTTCAGCATTCGTCTATGAACCCACATTTCCAATGCTTCTATTTTGTTCATAATCGATACTTTTAGCGTCCACACTTCTGCACTATACAAAAGTAAGGACCAAACATATCACTTAACCATTATTTGCCTTAGTCTAAACTGAGATGGTTATTGCAAAGAAATTACTTCATTTTCATAAAAGTAGTTTTAGTCATTGCTATTCTACGTTTTATTCTATGTCTGGATCTAGTTGGTCCGTTATCACAGTTCCCAAATATGTCATTTTGTGAACTTTCTCAACTTAAGACTCCGTTTAATTAAAGCTTTGCATCGGGATGGGGTCACGACTGAAACTAAAAATTTGGTTCTGTTTGAGTTTATTTTAATGCCCATTTCCTCTCCTACCTCGTGAATACGATCAAGCAGAATTTGAAGACCTTCAATATTATCTGATAGAATTACTGTATCGTCTGCATATCTAATCACATTAAGTAGTTCCCCCTTTGATTTTTATTCCATATGGTTGTCTCTCAAGTGCCTTTTTAAATAACTGGTCCAAGTAAACATTAAACAATGTTGGCGACAAAATGCAACCTTGTCTGACTCCTCGTTGTATAGAGATTTCATCGGTGTAGTTATCTCCAATTTTTACGATAGCAGTTTGATTCCAGTACAAATTTTTAATAACACGAATATCCTTGTCATCTAGTCCGATATTTTCAGTATTTGCATTAATTTTACATGCTCACTTTATCGAATGCCTTTTTGAAGTCCACGAAACATGCAAATACATATTTTCTTTGGTCATGGCATTTTTGTAATAGGATGTTAAGCGCAAAAAGTGTCCCTCCCTGGTTCCCATAGCATTTCTAAAACCAAATTGGGTATCTTCAAGATCTTCTTCGCATTTGCGTCCAACTCTATTATGAAGTATTTTGAGGAAAATTTTAAGAGTGTGGCTCATTAGGCTAATTAATCGATATTCTGAGCATTTTCTCGCATTGTGTTTTAGGATTGCGACAAATATGGATTTGGGCCAATCTGTGCGAACCACTTCGGTGTTATATATTGAATTAAAAAGTCTTACTACTACTATTATGTTACCAATCTCTATTAGTTTCAGCAACTCAGTTGGTGTATCATCTGGACCTGGTGTATCATCTGGCTTTTATAATTTTAGCATTATTTATAGCATGTTCTACCTCGCATTTCTGGGCCATCAATACAGTTTTGGTAGAATTCGGTCACCCTCACAGATCCACCCTATTCGTCATATTTAGCTCCTTTTGACTATCTTCATTTCACATATAAAATAATTCATGCCTAATTCTGGAACAAATGACAAAACTTATTGAAAAACCAACTATATGTAAAAATTACATGTTGTGTAATTGAATTAAAATGAAAAAATACTTTCATAAATTGGTCCATTGATTATTAATTCTAATCTCACAAGTTTTGGCTTATTACCTAATTCGTATCCCCGTCCTCTAGCCTTTGTTCACTTCTAAGTCTTTTCTGGTTCTCCTGTTTGATAAACAAACTCAGTCTATCCAACAAAAATTGCTTATCGTGTCCTTCCAGAACCAACTGGTTCTTCAAAACAGACACCAACTGCCTGTTGGCGGAGTTCACACCCCTATAGTAGTAAAGAGCGAAGAACAATCCTATGATACACGGTACGGCAAATTTGGCCGTACCCAAAAAGAAGATAATAGTCTGCACCCAATTAGGGGTTTGCAGAAACAAACTCACGGCTAAGGCCCACACGGACTCCTTGTCTCTGAAGGGTCCGCACGAGTGGGATGGAGTGAGATCCGAGAAGGAAAAACCTAACGGAAGGGCAGCGAATGCGAACGATATTAGAAGTACTAACATAAACATGGAATTTGTTCGAGAGGCTCTGTAAATGATGGGACTTGGTTTACAGTTGTAAACGCAAGCGAACTTTTTAATATAAAACATTAGAAAGAATATTATTGTGCCCATAAAAGAGATGAGGGGGGCGTAAAAAATGCCGATCCAAATAAGCGTTTGCGTGTAGACAATGTCCAGGGAATGCTTTGGAAGATCGAAGGTTTGTACACAAAGAAAATTGATTATTTTGTTTTTCACGTGTCGCGCCAATAAAGCTTTTGGTGCGTTAATGAAGAAAGTCATTACGACTTGAATTGCGAAATGAGTCAACAAAAGCTTGTAGATTTGTTGACCGACATAAGTCTCCCAACAAGGTGGACTGTCTGGACACACTACACAAGCATTAAGGTCCTCTTTATCGCAAGTTATCTTTCTCCAAACGGAGCCATAGAGCACAATCAACGCCGAAAGTCTCAAGAAGACAATCCGGATGATGGAACACTTCAGCTCAGTAGAAGGTTTGTACTTCTCGAAGGTCATAAGGAAGTTGAATAGGAATGGGATCACCATGTTCAATCCGACTATCGTCAAAGATGGTAAAAATTCGTAGAGAAACTGGATATACTTGTCCTCTGATGATTGTTTCGTACAAAAGGTAAACACTAAGTAAATTATACATCCACATCCTCCTAGAATTGCTAGCACTACAGAATTGACTATAATTCTGTAAAAGTATATTTTACATTTTTCCTTGGTTGAGCGATTCTGGATTTCCTCGTTTATTTTTTCAGTTTCTATGTTTGCCTTCAAATCGTTATATATCAATTGCTGCTTTATCTTTGCAGCCTTTTCGTTATCGATGCAAAAATCCCAGCCGCCAAAGATAGTGTTGCAGTAATGATAGAACTGTCCTTCTCCTTCTATGAGGCGTTCTCTAAATCCGTTCGCTGCTGAGTTGAGGATGGAGAGAGCTGATATAACAAAACAGGCGATTACTAATAAGAAATACGCCACTGGCATATTATAGATCATAGTTATACCTCCAGTCATATATTCAAGTACTTCGTTGCTGTAGAACCCGTAAAACAACATGGTACGCTCTAAAAACCCAGTCCCCTGTACAAAATCGAAAACTACATGGTTTTCCGAAAGCGTCATATTGAAATAGATTTGAGCACAACATTTATCCGTCGAATTTTCACTTGGGCATATCGTATTCTTCTTAACATCCATTAAAATAGTTGGCAAGTTGATAAATAAAAACACCAGCAAGAACAGGAATACGTTTAGAACAAACAACCATCTAACGAAGAGGAAGAAGGCTACAATTCCCGTACCGAAGTTACCTTCTATGTATTTCATAGATCCTCTCCATAGTCCTAGATTGAGCACAAATTCCTCGAAGCGGGTTTTCAAATGGCCCCACATTTTTCGCCGTTTCCATTTGAATTGTTCGAATCCTTGCAGCCGCAAATTGGGTTCATTCTAAAAAGAAAATACGTCTAGTTAATAAAAAATTAATTAAACAACTAAATTAGACAAATATATCAATTTAAACCCTATTTCTTAGAAACAAAGAGAATTTTAAATCGTTCCTAGTATTGACCACGATACACAAATACCGGTATGCTACTCAAGGAATAGAAATGTGTACTCCGACGCACATGACGTCACCTGCCAAGCCACAACACATGATACAATGACGTATAATATATAGACTAGCAGTCCCCTATTCTCGCTATATAATCGGGTGTCCGAAAGATCTCCGCTGAAGGTTGAAGGTATGTTTACCAGAACAGCGGCGTGCTCATTTATATGTTAATGACAATAATCATTTTCTAAATTAAAATTAAATATTTATGATTTCTTTTTGTTCCTGTCTATAAGAGTAATAATTATTTTGATAAAATAGTATGGCATTTTACTAAAATAGTAAGTAAATAATTCTCAACAATTTAAAATAAAATTTGCTTGTCACATAAAATATGTAAACACACAAAATGGCGAAAATGTTTTCATACGTCCATGATGTCCATGACGTCCGTGAAGATCAACTTCGTGATGCTTCGTAAGAAATCATGAACTTCGTACATCTTCGTATCAAAACAATAACAAAGGTATTTATGTTGTGGGTACTTTTTAAAGCGTTTACCGGGTCTATATATTATACGTCATTGACAGGATACTACTGTGTTCGAGATGTAGGATTCCCTATCACGAGATGCATTTGTGCATCGTGCGGTAGATGAATTGTTTTTACAAATTAATCACCTCTGTGATAAGTCTTTAAATATTTTTGGTTATTGTAGATCTTTCATAATTGATTAAACTTGCCCGAAATCATGTAATTGATCATGGTTTTATTATTGACAATAAAATAATCAACAAGGATTACTTTGAAGTGCTACTAAATATATCAATTTCAGAATTGACAATTGCGCATAAATTGATACTACATTATCTCTGTATCAAAGGCTTTATGAGGGAAAGAGTGAGACCTGCAGTTCCATTATTGTCAAATTCTGTAGCAAAAGCTATTAGTTATGCTGGAGAAAATGGACCTAGACCAAAAGATAGTTACTGGAAAGAAGTTGCTGTAATTGTTCAGCTATTTAAAGATTGGTTTCATCTATTAAATTCTCGATGTAAGTTCGTTGCCAATTCTCCAACACGAAATGCATATGGTAAAGATTTAGATTAGATAAGTAATCACGTCTACTAGATGAAATGTCAGAAATGGTCAATTCAATGCTGGTTGGTAAACATAAATGACTATTTCAAAACGGGATATTGTTTATTAATAAATCTCTGAAAGAGTTACTTTCTTACCTACAAGCAAAATACAACATTGACTATATTTTAACTTCCGAGGTTGAATCAAGACGTGCTAAAGAATTTTTTTCTTATATTCGAGGAATGGGTGGTGCAAATTATTATCCTTCGCCAATAGATTTTAAATATAGATTAGGGTAGTATATTTTAGGAAAACATTCGACGACGATCTCTACAGAATGTCGCAATACTATTGAAACTAGTGAATCCTGCGTAAATAACAGCTCAATAGAAAGTCCTCAATTGCCAAGCGATATTTCGGCGTCATAAGATATTTGCTTGACACAAAAAATACTGTCTAATTTGGCAGAAAAAACTGAAGGTTCGAAAGAATCTCAGTCTGAACACGACAAAATACTTCAAAATACATTTATAGAAGCTCACTACGTCTAGGAGGCTTATATAATTGACGATGACGTTTTGAAAGTCGCAGATAATTATGAGGGAAAGAAAAAATTCATCGGGACTCTTTGAAGTATGTTACTGGTTTTTTTGTAGACAAATTCAAACATAATTATAGTTTAGGAAACCCTACAAAAACTTATTGGGACATATAAGGAACCAGAACTGGCTACAGACAGTCTCTAGAGGTTCTCTTTTGTAACCAAACGAAGAATTGTGGGAAGCTACATTAAAAATGGAACCATTGTTTTGCACAATCCACGGAAGCTCTTTATCAATAAAACCTAAAATCTTTCAACAGCTGCACAAAAAACTTTAGCTCAGCTTGAGAATACTACGATACCATTTGAGGTACTCCTATGTCTCAGTAGGACACGCACATAATATATAAGCTTAAGAAAAATGTAGACAGATTAGTTTCAGTAACTATTCAAGAAAACTCGACAAACATATGTCAAAGTTTGTTAATTTTAAGAAGTAAATTTTTAATAATGTAGTATAAAATATTCAATGAATCTTTATTATAAATTGGTCGGATTCATTACTGAATGCTAATGAATGAGCTAATATTGGAAAATGCAAGTCAAAGTTCGAAGATATTTAGTAATACGTTCATTTAAAACAATGTTCTCTAATTTTAAAAGTTCAGATAACACAATCATTTTTAAACTATTTTCCCTAATTTTAAATGTTTAATGTAAAATTAAGGGATTCAGAAAGTCTTTTTAATATTTAACCATTCTATGTACTTTGTTCAAGATACACGATTATGGAAATATTCCAGTAATGAATTCGACTATGGACATATGTATAAGTTAAAATTAATTTTTATGCTTAGTAATTGAAAAGAGATTATTTTATTCCTACATTAATATGAATATACACAATTTATGTAGCGAAACGTCAAAAAAAGTCGTTTTGTTTTTCAATAATCAGAAAATCTATACCCAAAATCCAGGATATTTTTAAATGTCATAGTTCTACGCCAGACTCAATGATATTTATATTTAAATACACGGTAAATGTGTACAGTCACGGACACATGGCAGAAACGCTGATAAAACCTGTGTCCATTTGTACACATGGTACAGAACTAAAATTGCCTGTGTCCATATAAGGTACATATGGCACTTAAATTGTTAAGCGCACATTTTACGAAAATTTATGTATAGAAGAACACTGGACCAAATGCAAGGAAGCTATCCATACAGCGGCTAAAGGCTTTTTAAAACCTAACCAGGCTAAAATAAAGGAAGATTGGTTTGACGACGAATGTAGATCCATTAACCAACAGAAAAATGAAGCATATACGAGACTTCAGTAGCGCAGAACGAGATCAAACTTGGAAGACTATGAAGACCTTAGACGACAAGAAAAAAGGAAAAAGAAAGAGCCATACGAAAACTCTTTAAACAAGATTCTTAACCACCACAATAGAAAAGACTCGCGAAAATTTTACCAGAAGATAAACAGCTGGAGAAAAGAATTCAAAACCAGAATAATAGCATGTAAAGACAGAGATGGTTCCATAATTAGTGACAAAGAACAGATACTAAACAGGTGGGCGAATCATTTTGAAGAACTGCTTAACGACAGTCGTGAAGAAGACCAAATAGAAATTACTTCCCCTGAAATGGATGAAAACGCTCAAGAGCCGCCCCCCACCGAAGAAGAAATTAGAGAAGCCATTTCAAAACTGAAAAATAACAAAAGCCCCTGATTTGGACAATCTTCCAGCCGAACTCTTTAAAGATGGTGACACCCTTTTTAAACACATGTATAAATTAGTAACCGAAATCTGGCAACGGAAGGAAACGCCTGCAGACTAGAAATTATATGTAATGCACCCTCTTCACAAAAAGGGAGATATGATGGTGTGTGATAATTATAGAGGCATCACCCTACTTAACGTAACATATAAAGTATTGTCCAACGTATTGGAAAGAAGATTGATCCCTTATGCTAAATAAATAGGTGGGAACTACTAGCGAGGTTTCCGACCTAATAAATCAACAACGGATCAAATTTTCAGTCAGGCAGATTTTGAGAAACGCTTGAGTTCGGAGTCGACACCCAGCACATATTCGTGGATTTCAAAGCCGCATACGACTCAGTCAACAGACAAAAACTCTACAGGCTATGGTGGAATTTCAAATGCCGCTTCATCTTGTTCAACTAACGTAACTTACACTTACAGGCGTAGATAGTGTAGTCACAATCGAAAACGACTTTTCAAGACCCTTCCATTGTAAAAATGGACTGAGACAGAGAGATGGAGTGTCGTGTCTTTTATTAACCTTGCACTAGAAAAAGTAATTCGACAGTGGAACTGGAAGGTGTAAACACCTTCATCTACCTAGGCTCGCTGCTGACCAAAGACAACAATGTCATCGAAGAAATTAAAAAAAGAGTGTGCTTGCCAATAAGTGCTATTATGGCTTGAGGAAACAGATGGCCCCAAAACTACCCAGAAAAATTAAACTTACCATATACAAAACAGTCATAAGGCCAGTGTTAACATACGGGTCGGAAACGTGGTCACTTACACAGAACGACCAAGAATTGCTTAAACGTTTCGAGAGAAACATTCTAAGGAAAATATATGGAGGAGTCCAATAACAGGATTTGTGGCGTAGGCGCTACAACTTTGAGTGATACAGAAGTTTTGGGGAACCTGACGTTGTAAAATGTATTAAATTAGCACACCTTCGATGGATAGGACATATAATTAGGTGAGATGGACAGGGGCGAATGGAAGATTTTTCTGAAGAAGGCTTTGGCTGATAACGAGCTGTAATGCTACCGATGATGATATATGGTACACATGGCAGTTAAAGTGTTAAGCGCAGATTTTACGTCAAAGTGACGTTAATTACCAGTGGTACGAAAGAAGAACCGTATGAAGCCCAAGAAAATGAAGAGTAAAACGGACATATTATACTTATTAAAATAAAAGGAAGAAGATAAAATCTATTGTTGAAATTGCGATTATCAATGACAATTGGAATGTAAACAATTTAACAAATGTTATATATCCCAATATGTTGTTGGGTTCGTTTGATATAATTCGATTTAATCGACAGATGATAAAAGTAAACACACAGTACTCATATTAATGGAGTAGATATAGATCATACTATAATTAGGGTGACCATATGTACTTTTTTTAGTAGGACAGTACTTTCTTTTCAAACGCTGTCCTATTGTACTTTAAAATTTATGAAGTACATCTAAATGTACTCTTTTTCTTA